GCTTACTCGCGTAACGTCCGCGTAATAATTGCACAGATGCGCTGCTTGCATCCTCCGTTGAGCGTAATCTATTGTGCTGAATGAGTCGCGCGACGTGGCGGGATTTTATTATCGAGCGTGATTCGAAACTGGTAGAAAGAGAACGCAAGGTGTTTCGGGATCGTAGGTGTGAAGATCGATCAATTAACGAGAAAAGAAAATCTCTCGAGCGTTTAACCTCCTATTTCTCGTAAAGTGACATATTTGTATAATAAATATACAATATTGTAATAATGTTATAACACGAACATGCATTTACAAAACAATAGAATAGAGTGTTTTTCGATAAATATTGATCCTCGCCAACGTCGTCTCGCAGTAAACGCAAAAACATTCCGTCCGACCTGACGGTTTTTTTCAGTTTGCAAGCCTGTAGCTCCTCGTACAATTAAACGCATTAGTGGCAGGTATTCCGAGAATATAACATGTCAACAATAAATAGGCGGTAACTTGCAATGAACCTGTCTTGTTATGAACTGCACTTATTTGCATTATTACTTGAAGCGATCGCAGTCGTTGCAGACAGTACGTGGTTCCATATTTCTTATCGTTTTTCTTATATTTTTTTCCTGAACGTGTGTTAATTTTAAGCAGTTGTTTGCGCTCGTTTAAATGTAAAATCGCGAGATATAAATCATTTTACGGTGCATGCAATCGCGCGAAGAATTACAGTCGTACGAGGTGAAAAACTGAATGCCCTCGTGAACGCTTAATTTGCGCACCTGTGCATAATTAAACGTTTTTCTTCGCTTTCATTGGTTTATCGATCGGCGAAGTTCGGTATCCGTAGCACCAAAGCAATCTACGGCAACCATTTCGAGATCGTTCATTAGTTATTGACTCATTGAACTCTGTAGATATCGGTTATTCCGCGTAGCGTGTAATAAAAAAATTTCTGACTCGCGCGATAACGATGGGAGTATCTCTTAAATTATTAATCTCTGAATTTATTAAGACATCGTCGAGGTTAGGTTAATAACAGGATATAAACGTATCTCGAATGTGTATTTACCTCTTTACATTTTATTTAATCGTATATTTGATATTATATACAGATTTTATATTGCCAGTACTATATATTAATGCTGCAATTTCCAATCGTATTTTTCATCGATTTATTACAATTTCCGTAAAGTGTGTTTACATATGTCTCGATTGCGAACAGACCTTTGTAAAAATCAATGTTTATGTTATATCGGACAAACAAAACGCGAACACACGGATTAAAAAGCATATGTACGAAGTCGATAAGATTATTCTCCAAAGATAATGTAAAACGATGCAAACTCAATCTCAATACAAGTTATTGAGAATTATTGTTTCGGTTCTTAATATCTTAGACTACGAGTACAATTATTTTAGAGGATGAAAAAGAATCCATAACCTTCTGATCGACGTATAAAAAATAAAAGGTGGAAACTCGGTGTACACGTCGGTCACATTACCTTCGCGTATCGCATATTTGTTCGTTTCTTCATTTCGAACGATGTTTGTTCTCGTATCTCGGTATCCTTTCGCTACGCGTTACAACATCTATTCAGGTTTAATGATATCTCGGGTAAACACGTGACTAATTACTAGAACGTTTGCGACACCGTTTCCGGATTATAATAGCGTCAGGACGTACCTAAGAATTGGAACGATTTTTATAAAAAATCGTTTCGCTAAGTGAAATATTTTAAGAACGGGACATTCTGTTATAAAGAGTATTTGAGTCCAATTTAGGTAGGTGGCAAAAGGTTGTAGCAATCAAGCATTTTTAGGACCACGGCAATCATGTATTTTCGCGACCCCATAAACCTACTATCCAGAGATGACTTGTTGGCTAGGCACCAACAAACTAAACGGGGCAAGGGCAAAGAGAGAAGGTCTACGTCACGCTACATAGTAGTAGGGTCTCCATAACCACAAGAGATACACTTTTGTTCTATTCATGGCTGGTATTTTACGGTTACACCAATGACTCTCAGACTTGTCCTATCCTACTCTGTTCCTATACGTTTCGTTCGCGTCCTTTGTCACGCGATGGAATTGTAGTTGTGAGCGACTCAGCCAATAACGACAATGCGTGTGAGAGCAGGCTATTAAGCTACGGCCAATCGGCGTGCCTAGCCATCAAGTCATCGTTGTATAGTAGACTTCCTCGACAGCTGCACATCACGTGCCAAGTACCCCAATAAACATTACCTGCTAGTTAAACGACCAAAATTTCCCCAAAATGTTTGAACATTTAAGCCACGCCTCAAAATCATTCCTGATCCACCCTCGTCACAACCGACCAATAAGAATTCATCCATCTCACCCTTTCCACAAAATAACAGCAACCAATCGCAATCTTTACCAAACCGAGAAGCGCGTAAACCCCACTCCGTCAATCAGATATCATTCAACGCTCAGTCAGAGTAGACTCTAGATTCTCAAGATTCTTGTCAGCCACCAGCTTGACCATTCTTGTAAATAAAGTGTTAACGAACAGTATATTGTCTTTGCTTCTCTAAGCAACCCCTAAACTACTCACACAAAGGACCCCGCACAGATGTTATGGAAAATGGCCCCCGGTTAAATTAGCTGAACATTTGATATGATGTAGTTCATTATGTCTTGATGAAAAGTTCCAATGGGTCCAAGCTCGTAAATTGAACAGTTTCCGAGATACAGGGGATCAAAAGTCAATAATAGTGCGCCTTATTCAAAACTACCACGTTTGAGCATATTTGAGTGTAAGAAGCAGTGTTGTACACTGTCCATTTATTTGACCCCTTAAAACTCAATAGTAGTACTGTGGGCCCTTAAATATTACCCCTTGACCCCCTGACCCTCTGACTCAAAATAAAAAAACGCCAAAAAGGTAAAAAATGGTTCTCTTTTTCAATGTACAAACATGAAGCATTATTATTGACTTTTGATCCCCCGTATCTCGGAAACTGTTCAATTTACATGCTTGGGCCCATTGGAATTTTTCATCAAAACATAATGAACTACATCATATCAAAAGTTCAGCTAATTTAACCGGGGGCCATTTTCCATAAGATCTGTACGGGGTCCTTTAAGTAGGCGTGTGAGGTACGCGTCCAAGAAAGCAAACGCGCATTTCGTTACACGTGCAAAACAAATCGGAAATAAAATTTCGAAGTCGAAGAAGTCTCGAAAACGAAGTCTCGAGTCCAGAGGTTTATGAATGCGCGACGAGCATTGTCATTCCGGCGGAGAAGAAACGACAGGAATGTAAGAACCCCGGGCGCTCGATGATCTTTTTCTTTGGTTTCGAGAAGATCGGGAGGGGAGATTTCAGAGATACTTTCGACTTCCTCGTATCGAAAGGTACACGACCTCCTCAAACGACTTCTGGAATCGCCGGTTCTCGTAGAAGCACGTGGTTAACTGGACCACGAGGCCGCGATGGTACCGTTAAGCACGCAGCCGGCAAAAAGTCCGAACCATGACCAAAGCGGGTGTGTATGCTCGTTGTCGAGTTCTTTATAACCTCGAATTTCCTGGTCAGCTGTGCCCTGGCTATTGTCGGCTCCTCTGTTCGTATTGTGTCATTAAAGATGGATTGACCTTGGATTCCATGATTTCTTCCGTCGACGGTGGCGTGCTTTTTACCACCAAATGCGGACGAAACGATACTGCCTCGATAAGAAACGAACATTGGCATTTGGTAGCCTTTTCCGCGCGATCGTATGCCAAACATGGCCACGATTCTTCTACAGAACTTTCGAACAATTAATAAAAGACAAACGGCTGGTTTATCCGTTGTTTGAACAAGGATTAAAACGTCTATTATAGAACTTTCTTTCGAACTTCTAAAAACTTGGTTGCTTGCTCGTCGTTTCCACTTGTTAAGGCGGCGCAACTAACGATGTTTTTGTCTATACGTGTTATTAAGTAGCCCGAAGAAATTAAATTAACGCAATACACCAGGAAGTTGCCGACCGCATCATGCCCTAATAAACAGTTAAAGTGCAATGAAGCAGACGAGCTTACAAAAACTGTGACCGCGCGAAACGTCTAATTACGAAAAGAATTTACTATTTATGCGTCTTTTATGTTAATCGTTTGCGTAATAGTAGCAAGTATCTGCAAGGGGATGGTAATAAATTACAAATATAATGCTCGCGGACTACACGCTATTATGTCTTCCGGTTTTCAATTAACGTTTAGACGGAATGATAGAAGATACATTTGATTACGATCGCTGAACGGAAACAAGTAACAGGTTTACTCCGCGCGTTTAAATTTATCGTCGCGTAGGATGCCGTAATTCCGCATAATCTTTGGCTAAAGTGGGTTACACAGTTATTAAAGAAAAAGGGAAGTACTTTTACCGTGAGTAGCGGCAACGCGTACGTCCAAGTACACGATACGGTTGTGTGAACGTAATTGCGGTGTACTTTGAACTCGAAAAGAACTGGTAACGGCGACGCATATTACCAAAAAGTTGATAAATATGAAAGGACGTGGCTGGGCAAGAATCGCGGGGAACTGGCGTGCGTTCTGCAATCATAATTATCGCGTAATACCTTCTCGTGGCCGTGCACCACGCAGTGACCATTTTCACTTGCACGGTTTTTATAGCATGACTCATACTAATTGAGGCGTATGCATTACGAACTGTTTTCAAATATGCCAAATTTCACAATCGAAGCATTTCCTCCGAGGACGTCACGTGACAGGATTAATGTTATCTTATGGACTGTGTATACGCGGTTATAAATTAAATAAATGCTTCTTTTTCCTGATACCATTAAACAACGGATATAGCATTTTATGACCAATTTTATATCGAAATTTTATGGTTTAAATACGTGTGATAACATTTAGTCTAGTATTTTGTTCGAAATAAGTTGCATAAATATAAATATTGCGGACAAAGAAAGGTAAAGATAAGTAGGTAATTAAATTTTGTTCTTTTAATATTAAGAACTCTTGTAATATATATTTTTTATACTGTATTTCAGATGCTGCCGAAATTACGGCGCTGCTGAAGCCACGTCTGATCAAACAAGTTGTGAGTATCTCGTTACTGATCTTGTAACTCGTAATATTGTCTAATTGGAATTAGGTTTTTAGATTTATAGTGTATATACTTTATACGCATAGTTTGCAAGATAATTTTTAGTTTTAGATTCTTTTCAACGTTACAACTCTTATGCTTTGTGTCCTCTTCAGAGACATATTTACATATATTACTTCCAAAAATTGGTTAAAATTCAATTTTTGGAAGTAACTAATATGGTCTACAATATCGTTGAGTAATACTTCAAAGTATAGGAATCAACAAAAGTTAACAGGAAAAGCTATTAAATCGTAGCTTTATTTTTCAACACTAGAACTACCGACAATTTCTAGTGTATTTACTTGTACCAAAGAAATTAAAACGATACATACCTGGAGAAATATATAATGCAATGGAAATAAGTGTTTGTTCATTCTCTTATAGAAAATTACGGTTCACAAATTCAATCGAGTAAATTTTGTACTAGTTTTATTAGAAATTACTAATGGGTCAATTCGACTGTAGTTCCAGTGTTAAAATGGAACATTGCTACGCTTCAAAGGGTAAAGAAAATATTCGCAAGAAATAAAGGCAAATTGAATGAAATAAAACTCCATCGCGTGAACGGAACAAGAAATTCGAAACTTTCAGCCGGTATTGTATATGCAAATCAAAAGTATCGTATAACACGTTTTCGTTTCACAAGATATGATCACAAATTAACTGTCTCTTGTAAAAGAGTTACTGCCTCCGCAAAGTTCGCGTTTCGTGACGAGAATCGACTTATTGGTCGTCGAAGGTATTCGAGTCTATAAATGGCCAGATTGTCAGGTGTTCTTTCCTCGCGTCGACAGAACGAGGAATCGCGGATTGTCTATTAAAATCTCTGAAACTCATTGGCCATGACCTGCCTCTACCCACGCGACCGAACAAAACACTCCTAGACTGCTTTGCGCAGCACGTAACTACTTAAGTCCTATTAGTTGCGTCTGTTTGCAAATTAGGCGCAGAAGATATCAGTAGTGCGTCTGCCAGTGCGTGTACGCATGCATCTGCACGCGTCGTTTGAACGTTCGACCCGATGGAATTACTAGACGAGCAACGAACAGATTTCGATAATATGCTTTGTGACAAAGGGCGACGTTAAGAATCTAAATCAATGTTAAAAAATTCTTTCACGATCGTGGTATGACTCTATACATCCTTAGGAGCAAAAAGTGTAATATGTATTTTGCCCGAAAATGATGGGAAAGTTACGAAAAATGCATTTAAACAGCCGATTGTATCATGATTGCAATTTGTTCGGTGTAATTGCACGCTGTGATTTCACTGTAATCGCGTGGTAATTATCGTTTAGTTGTAGCGTAATCATAATCGTAAATCTTTAAAGCATGCAATAACTGTCTAATTATCGTGTAACTACCGCGCGATAGCGGTGCAATTACAATGTAATTATACGTAATCCTATCTTAACTCTGTTACAAATTAGATACATTTTTTTTTTAGTTATTTTAAAAAAATAAACATTAAATATCAAATGTAAGATACAATATTACAAGTAATACATATTTTCAAATTCAAATTTATTTGATAACTAAACGAATGTTCATGGAATGATCTGTTGAAACGCGAACTGTTCATAGAACACGAATGTCTGCCTCAAAGTTTCCCATTCTACTAGGCAGTGTGTGTACACGTAAAAATTGACACAAACGTGAGAACACGCGATGGTCACTCGCTAGATTATACGTCGAAGAAGTAATGAGAATGTGATTTTTACACGCTAATTTGCAACGCTGGAAACGTATTGCGTCATCTAACTTGCGTGCAGCGATATTAGAAACAGATCTAGATTAGTTTACTGTTTGCTGAGCTGGTGCCGTTACTACTTATTTCTACTTTAATGTACATTTTAGATTTGTAAAAGATTAAAATAATTTTATCGTTTTCCTATTTGACGTTAAAGCCGGGACGTAAAGTTAATAATATAGTGTAGAATGCGAACGAATGTTAAAAAACGTTGATCGTACGCGTAAGTATGTTTTTAATACATCTCCGACTCGGTCCGACGATATTCCGTACGTACTTTTTGTTTGCTTTGGGAGTTCAAAATTAACTGTAGGGTATTTCTGTATCATCGTTAAACGCGTATAAACACTTGAAGAGGGTTTCTTCACTAAACATAGATAAGAATGGCGCTGGAGAGATGCAGTCAATCGTTCTTTATTTTAGTTCATGCGATCATAAAGTGTTGTTCCAAAACGGAGGTATAGGGAGTATTGTTACTCTTACAAAAGAAGCAAAAATAATAGTTTCTCTAAGTTTTAAAATATAAACAGATTCAGGGCAAAACCACCAAAGTGAATATTTATTGTACCGCAGAAACGTTAACTCTTTTACCGAGTCATTTGGGAGTAGAATGAACTTTAACGAATCGAGCGACAACAAAAGATGAATCATGAATATTAAAATACGATCCGGAAATAAAACGACGACCAGAGGAAAGTCGTGGTAGCAAATCAAAGGTCGATTCGATGATCATCATTTTTATCTATTCTGCGGAATTGTTCGCGAGAACTTTGCACCACTGAATAAAACAATTAATCACAGTCAACAAAAAGTTCTATACGTTCTATAAATAACGAAATTTAAATTTAATTTTTTTTTTCGTTCGACCGTTTGGTAGGTTTGGCGTTAATGGATAGTATTGATTACGATTGCGTTCCTATCGATAACGGTAATTTTTTATCCGTCAAATGGCAGTCGAAGGAACGGGCTGACGGCGATTACGATCGATCGGAGGAGTTCGATGCCGGTCGTGCATTCGCGCGAAAGTTACGCCGCGAAGATGTTTCTTTCTTTTATCCGTAGAACGCGATGTGTGTATATGGAAATTACCGTCGACGTCACGTAATGTCGGCACCGAGAATGGCATGCAAAATAATGCAAATAACGTGCCGAAAGCAGACGGCTTGCCTCGGCTCTATCTATGTTTAGAACGATTGGGACGCTGCGCGAAAGTGGCATTCAAAGGCACGAAAAAGAGTCATCGCTTCTTCGTAGTTATATTTTCCCCGTTCTCGAGCCTGCTCGACCTCGGATTCCTCGAGGAAGGATCGTCGCTTTCGGGGCAGATGGACATTTTATTTTGCCTTCGTTTGGATATGAGTCGGTCCTGAGTCACGGCTGTGATTTACTTTCCCAACGCGAACAATCTATGGCGTTTAAATTAAAATTAAATCACTGTCTCACTCGATCCGGTATGTTAATTACGTGTCGGATTGCTTTCTAACTTTTTGCGATTGTTCGATTAATTGAAAACTTTCTTCCCTTTCTGATGAGATTCGACAGGAAGGCACTTTTTAATCCACAAATGTCGATACTTTAGTTTAGATATTAATTATCGGTACTCAATTCTACGCTTGTTCTTGCTACAAAGCCTGACATCGTTGCACAAAATAAGTCGCTCGTTATCGCTACTTCATGTTGAAAATCGCCGAGTCAGTGATAATACTGGCACTTGTAACGATTGTTAAGATAACCACGTGTTATATTTATAACTGAAAATCGTACGTAACGCTGTATTTTTTAAACATCGAAACTACTGGAAGCAACATTATAAATTCTAACCCTTCATATTTATAAAGTGACTCATTCAAAGTTTTAAGGAAACTAACGAAGGTGTAACAATAATGAGGAATTTTAAGTATAAATCTAAGCTTACTTTTCTTAAAGCAAGGAACTATTAAGTTTACTTATTAACTGTTAATTCATATACAGGGTGTTCAGCCACCCTTGGGAAAAATTTTAATCGGAGATTCTAGAGGCCAAAATAAGACGAAAATCAAGAATACCAATTTGTTGATGGAGGCTTCGTTAAAAAGTTATTAACGTTTAAAGTTCTGCTCGTACTGAATTTTTTTCTCGAAAATGCGCAGGATTTCGGGGGTATGTCTATTCACCAAAAATGATTGCAATTCATCCCTGCAACCAAAAATAATTTTTCCAGAACGATATGAATTTTTTAATTTTGTCGAAAAATTTCACACCTTCCCGAATTTTTTTCTCGAAAGTGGTTAAGATTTCGGTGGTATGTCTATTCACCAAAAATGATTTTAATTGACCCCCGCAATCAAAAATAATTTTAACAGAACGATTTGAAATTTTGAAATTTAATTTTTTAATAACTTTTTAACGAATCCTCAATGAACAAATTGATATTCTTGATTGTCGTCTTATTTTGGTCTCTAGAATCTCCCATTAACATTTTTCCCAGGGTATACTTGTGTTTTTAGAAAATTTATGTTTCCGAAGAAGACGTAACATAGAGTAAAAAAACAACGTTTGTAGCGATTCGATTATAAATATACGATTAAATAAAATTGTATTCCCATCGACGTAACGTCATTTTAATTCATATTCGTTTGTCTTTCGCAGGTAAATCAGATCGAAAAATGCAGACAACGCGATCGGTGCTGTCGTTGCTCCTGATCATCCTGAGTTGCTCAGGATGGACTAACGGGCTCTGCAGCCTGGAGAACGGTACCATAGCCCGTTGCAACGAGCTCAGTGATATCAAGTACATCGAGACCTACGATCTCGACACGTTGAAGACTTCCGTGCAGGAATCGGTTCTTCGTCCAGGTTCCTTCAACAATCTGACCAGCCTACGGCACTTGGACCTCTCGGGAGGCAACCTGAAACGAATAGAGGTCGGTAGTTTCCGAAAACTGAGCAACCTCAGAAGCCTGAACCTCGCTGAAAATCATATCGGGCACCTGGAATTCGCCGTCGCGGACGATTTGCGTCATCTGCACAGTCTGAATCTTCGTAAGAACAATTTTCAGCATCTGCCGTCGAGCATAGTCCGATTGAACGCTCTGAAGCACTTGGACGTCCATAACAACCCTCTGCGATGCGACTGCGCGACGCTACAGGCGAGGGATCTGATCGTGGACAAGGGGGTGAAGATCTCGAAGAACACTCTGTGCTCTGGTCCAGGCAACATGAAAGGGACGTCGTTGTTCGAACCGGACGCGACGCTCGTTTGCAAGCTCGAGGAAGAGGATCGCGAGATGCAGAGGGATCAGCCTGACGTTGACCCCGAGGAGGAGCTTGGTTCTGGAAACGACAAGCTCGACGACAACGAGGAATACCATTCCATAGAGGTTCCAGATGTACCCTCGGAGGCTCCAGAGACGGTGGAAATTGAGACACCGTTCCCTGAATCTCCTGAACTCACCACGTCTAGGACCACCACTCAGGAAGTGACGATGTGCTCGTCGGAAAACGGCGATTGCTTCGAGAAGACGATCGACAAGGATGGCGAATTATTCTTCGACTCGGAGGAGAGGAAGGAAACCACGGCAACCCCGCGTAAGAAAATATTCAAGGACGCTCTGTTCCATCCGGTGGACGGTTCCGGGGAGGGAGAGGAAGGCTCTGGCGAGGGTTCCGGGGCAGACGGGATCTTCGAAGACTGGAAGAAGACCGACGAGATGCTGGAACCGATCGAGTCCGAAGAGGAATTGTCGTTGTTGGGCAATAAGTTCTTCAACAGCTTGTTGAACGTGTTTTGGAGCACCACGGAAGTCCCGGCAGCGAAGAAGGACCTGGATCTGGAAGAGGAACAATTCATCGACGCGTCCGTGACCAAAGAAGCCGAGGAGAAGATCATTGTGCCAAAGAAAATCGATTTAGACGAATCGGCGCCACCTGGTGTCGCCGAAACGACCACTGGATGGAGCACTGTCAGTGCTACCGCCGGGACGGAATTGGTGGATGGCGAATTGAACGATCTGTCGAAAGTAGGGAACGTCAAGCTCAATGACGATGATGATCTGGCGGAAATGTCCTCGACGAAACAGTCGAAGAAAGGAATGGGCTCTTACGTCGTCCTGGCTGCTCTGCTGGCGATCCTGGCCACCCTCATCGTGTTCGCGGCCTACAAGGGCGACTTCTGCAAAAAGAAGAGGAAACGCGGCGACGTGGAGAACGGCACCGAGCTGAAGGACATGCAGAAAGCGCTTTTGGACACGGGCAACGCGCTGCAGCCGAAGGTAGCTTCGAACGGAAACGTGGAGAGCGTTCCTCTGGTCGAAGACGCGACCATTTACGAGGATCAAAGAAGACCCAACGAGATCAAGCCGAAATCTCTGAACGGCAGCACCGATTGCATAGACCCAGTGAAACCGCCTAGAAGGGCCAACGAGACGCCTGTGCACGACGTGAGCTCGTTCAAGACCGACTCGTTGTCTGCGAGAGCGAGTCCTGCTGACTTGACGGATAACAACAGTCCGATAGCTCCATCGTCGGAGATCAACGTGCCACCTTTAAGTCCAGGTGCCCAGAGAGTGAAGATCACCTTGCAAGACAATCCCGACAGCGTGCCAAAAACGCCTATACTCATTACGAGAACGATGGCTGGTGATAATCTAGTCAAAAAGCCATGAAGTTGATTCCCGCGTAGATCGGACGAAAGACGCGAAACAATTTTGGATCGACCGCAATAATCGAAGACAACACGAACGCGGGAAGAGGAACCTGAGATAAACACAAATGAAGGGTCAGCGTGATCGCGTGTTCCAATTCGAAGGATTCATAGTGTCGCCAGTGTTCCTCGAACTATGCGATTTAGTGACATATGGGATAAAGTGAGACGTAGAATTATCGTTAAATTTGTATCTTAAAGCGAACTGTCTTCGATGGAACGATCACGTTGGTAGCTGTTCGACGCGAATTTGTTTGGTCGAGAACGTTAGGAGGGACGAGCGATTCCGTGAAACGAGATTGTTTGTACATATTTTCAGATATATATGTATATGTAACATGTTACATAATATATTAAATATTATGTATATATAAACTTCCGTTATTTGTACAAGATTTATGGATGGAAAATATTTGATACATTTTATATACGTGTATACAATATTAGCACACTAGTCAGTTCCCTTAAGGATTTTCCTTATCGTGCAAGCTTGAATGGTATTCAAGTGCGTCAAGTTCCATTAGAATCCTCTGAACTCGGAATACATCGTTAATTATAGAATTCGAGAGTAAGATTAACATTGCTGTAATGATAGAAGTTCACGTATTAACGTTACAGTTGCTTGTTTTTAATGTTTCAGTGTTGATAGAACATTAGAATTTTAAATGCCGTATAGCTCTGATAATATGCAAATGTTTCGTTATTTGGTATAGTGTCAGCGAACGAATTTTATCTTTGACGAGCGAATCGGGGCCATTCCCACCACTGGTTGCTCTATCGATTTCTGGAACAGAGTCGCTACCCGAATAATCGAACGGCGGAATCGATTCGCGTCCAGTTATCCGGGTGATAGCGTACTATGTACTATGCAGAGATCATAAGTTGCCAACGAATCAAATTTGCAGTATCGCCTTTATATACACGAACTGTCATTGTTAGCTAACATTAGAAGGGATATCGAAACAGGTGAGGCAGAGATTTATGGAGGGAATTAGGCGAAAAGTGTATCACAAATTCTATTATCGTGATTTGTAGATTTTTCCGTAGGACAATAATAATCGAAAATAAATTCTGCCAAAGGCAGTTAATAGGTTTAAATAGCAGAAAAAGCGTACCTCCTCAAAATTTTAGATTTGTATGTAATTTTTACTGTGATTTATGAATGTTGTCCCTGAACTGTTTGGTCAGACCTTGTATTAAATCTTCGTGCCGAATACAAAAAAAAAAAAATAAAAAACAGGAATTTGATTTCTGCTAGCGGAACTTACTACTTAGTAACTAGTTGAAAAATTAATTTATACAATGTTTCTACCGTATAAATTCACAACAAGCATTCCAAATCAATCGTATCATCCTGCCCAATGGTCGTTGTCATCGATCGTAATTTTCATCGCGCTGTAAATCTCTCGTAAAGGTGACGTAATCGATTGCGCTCGGAATGAAGTATTGGAATAAACTATTAGGAATTAGAAAATTTCTAACGTTTCGAACTTGTCTTTAGCGATACACGACAATCTTACATAAAAGAAAAAAATACAGCAATAGATATTCTTAAATTACGATTAATCTGTTTATTGCAATAAATATTACAAATATTGACGTTGAGCGTTGTTCAAGGATTTGTTGAGACGTGTTCAAAGCGATGGGAATATTTTTTAAAATTGAGACACGAAACGTACGAAGCACGGGTTCGAATTGTTCTGTTACATATTTTTCTTCGGAGTTAAATATGTTTCTTAGAACGAAAAATGGAAATACGTGGGTGTGGAATGTCTTTAAGAGTAATTCTTTGCAAACTACTCTTCTGATTTTTGCGACGAATATTCCCATCGTTTTCGTTACATTTGATTCTTCGCGGCAAACGTATGCTTTTTGGAACCAAATGCGTGAAACGTGAAGGCATCTACGATTAAAATATTAAAACAGGGCGGACATCCCTCGTAAGAAAATTCTTCCAAAGATGCGTGCGTTCCTGTGCATCAATTATTGCATCACAGATTGTCCATTAAACGCGCAAAGATTTCGTAAAAGCGTTTCGTTTAATCGGCAACGAGAAGAATTATCTCATCGATATCGCGATTATCACTGAAACGCTAAAAAGAGCGATCTTTGATCCTTCATGATATCATCGGAACGTCGTCATTATTGTCGCCATTTTATTTGTTCCATAATATGTTGGCTGCGCGACGTTTACGAATAAATACGAAAGCGGGAAAGCAGTCAACATAATCGTATAAATATATTTTTCAAGCGTTTATAATTTTAACCTTGAATGCGAAATAAAATATAAATATTTATCTGACGAACGTTTACCTCGAATACTATTTACCGACCCTGTTCAAGTATTAACTCGTTTAGACAGCTTTTTTGGGTGGCGAAATATTATTTATTTCCATTGGTAGTGTCAATGAAAGTAAATGGGTATTCTTTATATTCTGGTCGAGTTTTATTTATCATCAACACCACCAGGTCAGTGGACTCGTACAAAAGTTTATACAGTACAGTTTTCCCTTATAAATTTATAAACTATTCTACATTATCTACTGGAAGGATGATGAATGGTGACGTCTCTTTTATGTGCATTATTTTTACATTCAGTGTTAATAAACTAAAGAGACAGGAGGAATCGATGTTCCCTGCACCTTCTCGTTTTACTCTGCCAAACAGTTATTAAATCGAACGTAATAGGGAAAAATCGGAATAGATGCAGCGTGAATCGAGTCGATCAACCGGTTCCTTGCTTCTTCAGGCATCCCACTGCGAACTACGGAAGTGTGGACACGACTTAGGACATCTATCAAAGAGAGGGATACATCGCAGACAGGTGCGCGTTGCCACGCACTCACCTGCGGTCGAATGTATCTTTCCATTCGATCGAACCACCGGAGGACGGTTGCTGACCATTAGGATGAGCTACATGACCGGTCACGTGCTTCTTACAACCAAGAAGCGATAACCGTAGTGAGAAACAAGATAGCCAGTAAAAAAGAAGCAACTGATTTATAATTGCTTGGCAGAGTACAGAGATTCGTTCGCTGTGGCCTTAGAATTAGAATTAGAATAAATAGAACCATTTGGAAATTTTCGATTTTAATGTGTCGCTTTTAAAATAAAAGCAAAGTGTACCACGTTTGAAATCGCGTTAAGAAACGACATTAAAATTACGATAAATTGTAGATTGTAGTATGAATGTAAATCTAGTTTCAACTTTGTCGCGCGACAACGTCGAAAGTAATGTAGGAGAGACAGGTAATTATGAGTCACACTTAGAACGAAAGGCGCTGTGTCATAATAATTTCGCAGATAACACGTATTCCCAATAAATATGTAAGGTTACTTGGTAATGTTATATTATTTTGTACCAGCACCTAGTATTTGTTTGACGGTGTTGACTGTTATTTAAGAGATTAGCACGTTTTGGACGACTTATTATCATTTACTTCGGTTCATGTATCGCGGTAAACGATACATCGATACGATCAAGTATATAATTGTGTTCAGCGCGAAACTGTTGTTAATCGTTACGGGTTGGCGTGCAATTACCGTAATTTTATACTTGTACGACTTCGTTCTTACCAGGTTTCAATCTTGTTTAAAATTTGATCAAACAATAAAGTGAGATCACTTCCACAGCACGTGACGTGTAACGAGGAGCAGTAAGTTTTGTCGAGCGTTCGAACATACTCACAGAGTTTTTAATTTTGTTCAAATATTCTACGATCGATACATTTCTGACTCGAAAATTTTCAGAGTACAATTTTCTCTCATGTCTTAAGAAACAGTTACTAAGCAGCCATTAGCACGGCGTTGCTCGCGATCAAGAGTTTTTTTGGAAGGATTTTCGGTCGCGAGTACTTTAGAAATATCAAAATGTAACACTTCTTTATTTCACAAAAATTCCTCGTGGGAATCGTTTTTCCCATGACTTTATGGGCTGTTACGAGTCTGGATCCGTGGGCTCTCTGTAGCCGCTTTTAGGTTCCCTACGAAGTTCCCTGATAACGATCGATCTGGACGAATGGACGTGTGGCATGTCGGAATCTTCGTCGTCGGACGAGTGTCCATCGTACACCGTCCGTCTTCTTCTTTTTTTCTTTGCGCTCGGTGTCTGTGGTCTGGATTGAAGTCTTCCGGTTCCAGAGTCTACGGAATCGCTCATCACGCTCTGCGTTCTAGGCACCCGTGCCACGTAAGATCTGGAATTTGTTTGACTAGCACTCTGCGATAAATCGGTCCCGACGTTACCAGCGGAGGCGTTCCTTTCCCTCCTGATTCTCTCTATTCGACGTTCTTCTCTTCTGAGTAAATCGTCCTCGCTGAGAATCTTCGTCCTTAGCCTCCTCGTCCTTCTCTGTTTGATCCTTATATTATCCGCGGAACCCATCACACGCATAGACGTCGTCTCTACAGAAATTTCATCCAAATTGTCCAGAGAACGAACCAATCGTGGCATCTGCATAGCCTCCTCGTAACTAGGTGGGCCAATTAACTCGAAAGGGTGGATTCTGGGCTCCGAAGTCCGTTCGACGCGCTCCTCTTGTCGCACAACGTGATTCCTACTGAACAATCATCGATCGAACGTTTTTATTTCGAAGAAGAATTGAAATTGGAAGCGTTTTCAAAGATTCTTTATAGATTTATTTGGAATTTATTTAATAACGATAAAGTAGATTCCTTAGTTACTCTCTGTAGGTAATATCGTATACTGAGAAATATTTAATCGTTAATATATTTTCAATAATATATGCAAATCAGATTTCGCGTTTAAAAATGCCAAGTAAGTGAAAATTACTTAATCAACTGATGTTTTGCCACAGTCGAATCTTTAAAAATTCATTAACATCAAAAACAGGTCATTCGATTACTGCTTCAGTTTAAGTAAACAATCGTAATATAGATTCGTACCTTCTTTGTCGTATCAGTCTCAATGTTTCTAGATGTTGCCTCTGTTCCATAGCCCTTCTCTTGACTCTCATCATGTGTCTGATGGAGACGAAGCTTCCAAATAGAACGATAACCGTTAGAACAGTGATCATTACGAATCCCCAAGTCTTGTCTTTGCTGTAGTACAAGGGTACGTTCCACGCATCGAAACAAGCTATTTCCCACGAGTAACCGGACACGTTCACCGGGCTCTGGCAGATCAAACTCGATTCCGATGTCTTAGCTGGCGATTCCGTCAAATAGTTGAACAGGTCGAACAATTCCTTGCAGTCGCAAAGCCACGGATTATCTCCTAGCTTGATGGTGTTCAAATCTGGATTGTTTCGAAATATTTCTGGATTCAAAGCCACCGTCAAACGGTTTCCTAAAAATGTTCACACAGAGGTCTCGATAAATGCTCTTTGAATAACTTCGAAGTAACTTAAACTAACATGTAACTAGTTTCTATGGCCAACTGGTTACGTGGACAAACCAGTGTCTGATATCGTTCCGCTTGTCTTAGTTTTTAGATTTACCGTTTGAAATCTGCGCTAGCTCGATGTTCTATTTACCGAGCACTCGTAAATCAGTGTGCATAATCTATCGATAGTTAATTAAACGTCGCACCTGATAAGTCGATCCTTATGAGTTGCGGCAAATGGAGGAAGGTGTCGTTGTCCAATCCCACCAGTCTGTTCCGTCTCAGGTCGAAATTCTTCAGCGTTGTGGACGAGAGAGTGGGTGGTATTCTTTCCAATTGATTGTCGCTCAGGATGATGCTCCTTATCTTTGGCATGTTCGTCAGAAAGTTGTTGCTCAGCTTGCTAATTTGATTCGACGACATGTCCAGTGACGAGGCTGACGACGTGAGATTTGGAAACTCGTACACGTTGTTGTAGGAGAGATTTAGCATCTTCAGCTCCAAGTTTTCGTGAAACGCCAACGGATCAATCGTTTCCAGGTTGTTAGCCGACAGGTCCAGCACTTGGAGCTTCACTAAGCCTTCGAAAGTGCTGGCGTTCAAACGTTCCAGGCCGTTCGCGTTCAAGTACAGGAAACCGAGTTCCCTGTTTTTAGCAAAAATACGATCGGGCAACAATCGTATCGTGTTACGGGCTAATCGAGCGTGAGTCAACGACGGGAATCCATGGAGACCCGGTCTATCCAAATTGCAATTCGACGCGTCGAACTTTTTCAACTTCAAATGGTTGAGTGTCTCGTGTCTGAAAGCAAAACGCACATTCACATCAATTTTACTTTTTAAAGAAACGTTTCTGCAACATTACGGTATCAGAAGACTCTTTGTTTGGATAAAATAGTAAATAAGTAGCAAATTAAAGCTTCGTATTTTGTATATCGTTTGGTTACCTGGTGCTGTAGACTAACGTGGGATTGTTGGACAGTCGAAGCTCTTCAAGCTCTGGAAATCCGCTGAAAGTATCGGGACTTAAGTAATTCAAAAGGCAGTCGGACATATCGAGCCACCGTAGTTTTGGACTCCACGCTTTCTGAATGAATTTCAAAGGGTTTCCTACCAAGCTTAGCGTAGTTAATGCTGGCAGACCGTCCAGAGATGTGTTACTAAGTTCTCGTATTCCTGTCGAACGAAAAAAGCATAATAAAAATATTGCACACGTTGAGTCAACAGTAGTGGAGTCACCACATGACAAGGTGGACATTCTTTGGGATAACATTTTTTATTTTTATGAAATCCAATGTAATCTGCGACGTCTGAGTCATCGAATGAGACACTTTGTATTTCTAATCAATTAAATTCGGGGGATCGTTTAATCACAAAACGAAACGCGACAGAGGGGAGTGAAAATTGATCGTTAATCGTGGATAAATCCGGATGTATTTTAATTGTATATCGCCATACCGCAATGACTAGCATCCAGAGCTTCAAGTCCTTTGTTTACCAAACCGTCTAAACCGGGTAACGGATTTTTGGACAGATAGAGAATCCTCAAAGACGGCAGTTGGTCCAGAGAACTAATTTTGACGGTCTCGTGTATTTCGTTACCGCTCAAATCCAATCTCCGCAGGCTTCTCAAGTGACTAATGTCGTCGGGCAATGAACTCAGCTTGTTCCTCGCCAGATTCAGGTACTGCAGATCTATCAGTCGATTAATATCACTCGTGATGTGCGTCAACAGATTGTTCGATAAATTTAATTGTTCCACCTGAAATGCGATTAAGAAACGGCTCGTTTGTGTATTTAGGGACAAAGATGAATAAAATTCTTAGATTCAAATTGCAAACGGGAAATAATTTAAAACGAATCAAAAAAAAATACGTGCACGTTTAAAACTCAGTTTCACGAAGGCCTCATTAACCAGCGATGGGAGGAACGTTGGAACGTGCACGGACGCTAATTCTTTTTCCGTTCCACAAATGATAATTACAGAAGTGTATTGCAACATTCTCCGCTAGCGAAGTTATCTGTTAGATATTGGTGTCTTTCTTCGCCGGTACATTTATACAGGTGACTCAGTCCTAGTCACAATTTCAGTAATCAACGCGATAAACTACAGAAAACGTCCGCAAAGCCGGCCATTTGCATTAAACTGGCGCACGAAATTCGTTAACACGCTTTGAAAACTATGATCGTGGTTTACTCACCACGTCGCTGATATTTTCGGGGAACGTTTCCAAGGCTTGTTTCGCGCACATGACAGTTCTCGGCTGTTGGGTTAAGTGGCAGGAGCATCTCGCGGGGCAAACACTTTGGCAGACCGCGACAGAGAGTATTCCCAAGAACGTGGCTGCCAAAGAAATCGACGCACAGCCGGTCGTTATCCGTTTCTCCATGTTCTCTGCTATCAGACACGATCGCCTCGAGTTCCATGGAAATCACATTTTCATCCAACAGCGAACGCTAGTCCGTTTCAACGGGGACACCGTGAATTGTTCTCGGTCGACATTGTATCATCCTCACCGATGAATTTCGTAATTAATAACCGATTTCGTGAGTAATAAACGACGTCTGTACGGCGAGGATCGATGAATAGCCTAACCACAGTGCTTGGAACCGTCCTGAAAACTACCGAGTACTTATCTTTGATAAGTAACGCGGGATATGCCGCACGATATCTCCGTAAGATAACTCGAGCGCGCGGCGAGGTGTCGAGAACATTATTCCCGGCTGTGAACGAAAAAATTGAATAGATATACAATAGAAAGAAATGCACCTGTGAACTATTTGAGAATCGTCCGTGAAGTTTAAAACGCGCTCGAGGGGGCAGTCTTGCACTTCGAACCGGAAATTGAGGATCGTTTCTAATTCTCTTTGGCACTAAAAGAGAATTGGAACGAAATTTTCGGAATGAAAATTTATAGAAATCTTATTTATTTAATGTAGTTTAATTAGGTGTATATTATTTTCTCGAAACAATTTCTTACTGCTGGTTCTTAATGGGTTTGAATATAATAAAGCAAACCATTTTGCTGGAATGAAGTAGGTACATGATTTTAGGCGAAACGCTGATTAGAACATAAAAGATAAGAAGATTAATAATCCAGATCATGGATGGGCAAAATTTTGTTCTCATGATGGTAAATAACAAAAAAAATTAATCTACAGTAATTTATTCGTGATGTGATTGAATATTGTTAAATTTTTCAATTTAAATTCTTATTTATGTTAAAAGAGTTACGATTAAATGTTTATCTCTTATTCGTTACTCAACATTTTAATCCGGATAAGAAAGAATCTGCATGAAAATGCACACTTTTTTTTTATTTTTATTTTTGCTACGGAGGAGTAATTGGATTAGAATGAAAAATTAGTAGACACAAAGTTTCGTTAATTTTTTAACAGTTTTCACTAAATAAGGAAATAAATCTATTTCGATAGTATACATGCACCTGATGTGAATCGCTAATCCGAAACAAAACTGATAAGATTATTAATCTAGATCAGAGATGAGCAAAATTTTATTCGAATAATAGATAACCAATAAGAGCAAAATCTATCACAATTTATACTCGATATTGATTTGTTCGAAGTATTTCGTTTTACACAGGTAAATAATCTTATTAGTATCGACGAAATACAAGAAACTTTTTTAAATGCTAAGAATAGTATAATTTGTAATAGCGTTTCGTTCTGGCGATTAAAAAGGAACACGAAAGAGGGTCTACGGTGAAAAAACTCGTACATATTTCAGCGAAACGCGAATTGAAATTCGAGTGGGCAGTCCGGTGGAAAATATAAGACATTAGATAAATACCTCAAGTATCCGGAAAGCCGATATTGAGGCGGCCATCTCTTCGGTATAAGTCTCTCTTGGCTGACCCATGCGGATATTTTCCCCTTTCCCCGACTATTCCCTCTGTATTACAACCTCTTTTTATCGTTCCTTCGACCCGACAGGACCGTGTCTAAGGGCTGTTCGAAGAATGGGACAACCGCGACTCAGAATTATAGCGATAACGCGTTTCAAAATCACGATGACACTTCACGACTAACTACGAAGTTTCTATAAAGAATAAAGTTGTAATAAGATTAGAGTTTAAATCGAAAATTTAATTTTCTGGCGAGCCTATAAAAATTAAGCAATAAATAGGTTTAACTCTTCGTCATTTGAATAATTATTTATGAAAACAATAACGAACCACTATTGGTTTATTATTCGAATTTTCATAAATTTCCCCCTAATCTGATAACAGAAACAAATTTATTGCACATTTTGAACATTGATTTAAGTTATCTTACTCTTTGTAAAAAATAGTGAAAATTTATTTTCTCCCATTCTTTTCTCGTGCCATTAATTTACAAGAATAATGGGTACTAATAACGCGAACAACGTGTATTTAACAAAGACGAATGATCTTCCTGCTTACTCTTGTGATATTTATCTTTGGGTCTTTTTTGACCTAACATGATCTTATTTTATTTCTGAATTTTTACTGTTCCCACAAATATTGAAATTTATACTCTGGATATTATATTCGAACCTTATTGACTTAGATAATAATGCAAATAGTTTGAACGAATCATATATAATAATTTGGTTTGTTTTAAAGAGTTGTTGTTAATATTCATGCGGAAATGGTATAAGATGAATACGAATCTACGAATCATTCGTCGTCGTTTAGTATCATTTAATCTTCATGGACGACATGACGTTAAGAAACCATTAATATCTAAAAAAAAAAATGGAAGGTCTGACTCCGGTTTGCCCAAGATCATCCACGCTGGACGTTGCATCTGATTGGGCAAAAATAGTTTTTAGCGATGAAAGTAAGTTTCGATCGTTTCGATCAAGCGGGGTTCATCGTGAAACGTACGATAGTAAAATGTTGTGGGTTAAAAAACGTCGATAGAAATTGATAATCGTAGGAAGTTATGGACCAACCCAGGTCGAGTCCAGCTCCAGATAGAAACGCGGAGGGTTAAAGCGTTAACTCTTTTTCGCGAGTAGTATTTGTCGGGCGCGAATCAGACGAAACGACAGGAACTTGCTCGCCATCTGACCACAGAGCAGCGAGATAGCGATAAGGGCTCCACCCTTCGTGTCCGTAAATTTAAAAAGACTTTATCCGCGCAGGACTCTCTCTCTCTTTTTCACACGTCCGGTTGGTCCAATGGGGATGATAGGTCACACCCTCGGGAGGGTGCGAGCGGTTTAGCCAGCGCCGGCGCTTAGCTAACGGCTTATCCAGTAGCGACAAGGACACGCTACTTCTACCTGTTGATATTAAACCAACCCCTTCGCCGAGATTTTGCAAATCCGGAGTTCCACGCTTGGGGTTCGGTCACGCCCTCCGGTGTCGATGTTCCGCGCAATTTTTCTCGCGATTTCCCACCCTGGAACGACGTGAATTATTTACGCAAAAATCTCTGTTCTATTAGAATCTCTACGAAGACAGTTGTCGTATAATAGGCTCGTGTCAAGAGCACTAATGAAAGAAACAGATTGGAAGAAATTAATTTATCAACTTTTTTTGCAAATATGTACGCACCAAACGAGCAGAATTTAAATAGTTCGTGGGCGAGGAAAAGGCGCTCCGTGTCCCGACGTTGGTTATTCAAAGGTGTCTGTGTGAATTTGATTATCACCCCGTTGTATCGATTTCCCATTGCTGATTTTAAAGCGCCGTCGACGGCCACTATAGCGGATAGTTGTAATTAAAAGTCAATAATGTTGCATACCGAGAAATATGAGCAGTACTTCGGCGAACCATGAAATCCATATCGAAATATAACATTCGATGTTACGGATAAATAATAGTTTGCAAAGATAACTTGCGTGCAGGTTTATATTTTCGAATCGAATAGTAGAAGGCAACTGCACTAGGTTTTATATATCTTCCATCTTTAACTTTCATGATAAAAAATTTTATCACTTTCAGTCTGTAATATGAAAAAGGTCCCCAGCTTTAAGGTTCCTAAATCGTCGAAAACTATACACGAAGGGCGAAGAAAAAATTCTTTATAATAGGTGGATCTAGTAAAACTGTTCTCAGTCCACTATTAATTATAAACTAATGTTTTGTAGAGATTTGTTAAATATTATATTGTTTCCTCCAAGTTGTACATTTCTTATTTTGTCAAATCTAGTTGTCTCATATTAGATTCTAACATAGACAAGTTCGGTAGCTTATAAAATAGAAGACTGTCTCAAATGATTTCTATCTCGTAAGATGAAACAGTATTCGACGAAGAGTTAGGAATTCGAAGACACAGGGGGATGATTATATCCGTGAGCGTGTTTGCCGCGTTTCACGGCGTAAAATCGGTACAGTAGCGAAGGTATTGTCCCGGTGGAGGGGGCAAAAATTCATCGTGCGAACCGACTATCGAAGCCAGCTGCGCTAAACAGTCGCTAGAGAAGATATAACGTCGGTACTATCTGCGCCGGGAGACTCCTGGCTCGTACGTCTACGTGTATACGTCTTTCTATATATTTTTAACGCCTTCATTTCCGGCCGCGTTGGGACACCGGAAATAGCGGGACGATACCTCGCGGTGTTTCAGGTATTGATCAGTTCGAGGACCGGGTACAACCCACCCACGGTGGGGGGTGCATGCTCTGCAGGCTGGAGGCTTCGACCCTGCACCGACCCCCCTCTCTTTTACCCTCCCCGCCGGGCATCGGCGTCTCTCGTGACGCCCCCAACCGCCTCCATCGACCCTCCAACCAGCCCCGCGACCCCCCAACGAGCCATCGAAGACGAATCTTTAGATATCTCTGTCGTCTCCGCTCGGATCCTCGGGTTACGCTCCAGTAGGCTCCTCGGAAATAAAACGGGAAACTAGTTTGCATCGGTGTCGTCGCTTGCGCGGTTCTTCCTACCCCCCGACGAGAGAAATTCAGGGGATTTGGCAAAGCTGCTTCTTGGTCTGTTTAATTGGAAACGTTCCGGCGCAGGATTCCAAGATCAGACCGTAACTGTCGAGTGTGTTGCTATTGTTGCTACAGAGTTCGTTCGATCGTTCTTTTTAGGGGATGGATCCTACGGATTATTTTTCTTGCTTTTATGGCGTATGCGGGATAATAAATAATGGAGACAGGTATAGCTGCGGGTTAGGATAAAATTAAATGAAAATATCACACCCTCTGTGATGCGTTAAGATTCTAATTACGATCTTTATTCCGATAGAATAGTACCCTCGAGGAACGTGCGGTTGCAGATTGCACCCTTCTTGGCGAGAACTCCATTCTTAACCTTTAATTACTCGCGTGAGGTCATCGCAATCTCAGAACTTCTATTGTACGTGTAAATCGTGCTTTGCTTTATCTTTATTATTATTAAGTTCGTTAGTCAACAAATTGAACGGAACAACAAAATATCGGCGCGTTGCGTTAGCGGAAAACCGACGATTCCCGTAATTGGCGCGGTTCAACAATCGAGTTTCCTCCGTGATCCTTTTGTAACAGACGCGGAAAAGGATACATTCCACGGGAGGGTTATACACTGGAGCTTCGAGGTTTCGAAGTGATTTTATTTTACCTA